TTGGTTTGAAAGGTTTTGATGGGGTTGATAGCATTGGCAACAATGGAGGGCAAGCTCTATACTGGAATGAGGCATTTAATGTTGATGTTGTTTTTTCAAATCAAAGGTGTATGGATGCTTATGTCAAACTAGGCCCTGAGGACTTGTGTTTATGGTGAACCGAGGGTAGAGGACAGACACAACATGTGGACTATGCAAAATAATATGAGTTCCCAATCTGACCTCCCTTGGTTAGTAGTGGGCGACTTCAATGAGTGTATGTGGGACTTCGAATATTTTTCTCTAACCCTGAGACCTGTCGGACAGATGCAAGCCTTCCGGGATTGTCTTGAGACTTGTGGCTTGGCAGATTTGGGTTTCACAAGGGTGGCTCATACGTATGATAATAGAAGGAGTGGTGCAGGCAATGTAAAGGTATGGCTGGATAGGGAAGTTGTGTCCCCTTCTTGGCGCAATTCTTTCGAACACCCTACCATTCGACACTTAGTCTCGCCAGTCTCGGACCATGTGGTCATGCATGTGAGGTGTGATATATTGGTGTACCAGCATGTGAAAAAGAAATTTCGCCAATATGAAGTTATGTGGGAACACGATCCGGTCCTGCAAGAAGTAATTTCGAAGGCATGGGTGGAGGCAGGCCAGAAGTCATGTCTTGGGGATGTTCATGCAGCACTAAGATCTACCATGAGTAAACTTTTTTGATGGAGCAAGGAGTTTGGTAATGTTGCACGCGAGATAGAGAAGTCCAAAACTTAGTTAGAGGAACTAATGCTAATGAATGCAGATAGATGTGATATATAGCGTGTTACAGACAAGATGAATGAACTTTTGTATCGGGAGGAGCTGATGTGGTTACAAAGGTCAAGAATTGATTGGCTGAAGGCAGGGGATTGCAACACAATTTTTTTTCATGCAAAGGCAGTGTGGAGAGCTCGAAAAAATAGAGTGAATAAGTTGCAGGATGCACATGGCGTGAACCACACAGGAATTAAGGAGATGGGTGTTGCAGCCACGAGCTATTTTGAAAATCTATTTACGGCTGACCCAAGTATTGATCATACTCTTGTTATAGAATTGTTCGAACAAGTTATAACTCCAGAAGCACAGACAAGGAAATAGCGGATGCGCTCTTCCAGATTAGTCCCTTAAAGGCTCCGGGGCCTGATGGTTTCCCTGCTCGTTTTTTCCAGCGCAATTGGGCAACGGTGAAAGAAAGTATTCTTGTGGCAGTAAAAGACTTCTTTCGCACAGGTATAATGCCCCCTGGTGTTAATGATACTATAATTGTTATGATCCCTAAAACCGATAATCCGGTGAAAATTACGGCCAGTTCTCGATGACATTATTTCACCTGCTCAAAGTGCATTTATACCTGGACGTTTGATCACTGACAATGCCTTTGTAGCTTTTGAATGCATACATCACATCAAGCAAGAGAAAGATCCCACAAAGAGATATTGTGCGTATAAGCTTGATCTCTCAAAGGCTTATGACAGGGTGGATTGGAACTACCTTAAGCAAATGATGCAAAAGCTTGGCTTCGCTCACCGTTGGGTCAATTGGATAATGTCATGTGTGACCTCGGTGAGATACCCCGTAAAATTTAATGGAGCTATCTTGGATTCGTTTGCACCGTCGTGTGGTCTTCGGCAAGGTGATCCGCTGTCCCCTTATTTGTTCCTATTTGTTGCTGACGGCCTCTTCTCTCTTTTCACCAAGGGTATTGAATCTGGAAATTTATCTCCACTGAAAATTACAAGAAGAGCTCCTGGTGTTACACATCTATTATTTGCAGATGACACGCTTTTATTCTTCAAAGCTTGTGACCAAGAAGCAAATTACATCAAGTGTATCTTGGTTGATTATGCGAATGCCACTGGGCAGTTGATAAACCCCTCCAAATGCTCATTGTTGACTGGGACATCTTATCCAAATGGGGTTACGGAGAATGTGAAAGTGGTGCTGCAGGTACTCTCTTCGGGGTTTGAGGAGAAATATTTGGGATTGCCAACCCCAGATGGAAGGATGTCAAAAGGCAAGTTTCAGAACCTGCAGGTCAAGTTAACCAAGCGCTTGTTTGCCTTTGATGGACATCCAACGCAGGCAGGAAAAGAAGTGCTCATTACAGCAATTGCCCAATCAATCCCAACATATATAATGAGTGTTTTCAAGCTCCCACTAGAAGTGTGCGATGATCTAAATTGCATGGTTAGAGACTATTATTGGGGGTAGAAAAAGGGAAGAGGAAAACTCATTGGTATGCCTGGCATAAAATGACAAGGCCTAAGAAACAGGGCGGGCTGGGATTTAAAGATTTTCGGTTGTTTAATCAAGCCCTATTGGCACGGCAGGCATGGCGAATTCTGGAGTACCCCAACAATTTGTGCGCGAGGTTATTCAAAGCAAAGTACTTCCCAAATGGGCGTCTGCTGGACACGGTCTTTTCTGGAAATCCCTCTCCTACTTGGCAGGCAATTGTTCATGGCTTAGAACTCCTCAAGAAAGGGGTGGTTTGGAGAATTGGAAATGGCCAAAATATATGTATTTGGCGCGACCGGTGGATTGTTTGAGAGCCATGTGGAGGACTAATTACTACTAGAGGAAGGTGTCGCTTGAGATGGGTCTCTGAACTGCTGAATCATCATGGGGCTTGGGATTGGGACAAGATTAATCAACACTTTCTTCCTGTTGACAGAAATGAGATACAAAAAATTAGACTGTTTCCTCGGGCTGGAGAGGACTTCGTCTCTTGGGCTCCGGAGAAAAGTGGAGTGTTTACAGTGCGCAACGCGTACAAACTCGCTAGCGCTGAACTTTCAAATGAAATGGAGGCCTCAAGCAGCTCCAGACCAGATGGGACAAGAGATGGATGGAAGCATATTTGGCGGAGTGCAGCACCACCAAAGGTTCGTTCCTTTGCATGGCGTTTGGCTACGGACTCCCTAGTAAATTATACAAATAAAGTTAAAAGACACCTGGAAGTTACAGCAATGTGTCCAGTCTGTGAAAGGGAAGAGGAGGACTCATTCCATGTGTTTTGTTCATGCAACCATGCAGTACAGCTATGGATAGCAATGGCGGAAGTATGGGACTTACCGGTGCACTCGCAGATTAAAAATGTTGGTCGGGATTGGTTTTTACACTTGGTTTCTGAGATACAGGAAGATAAGCTGGTTCGGGTGATTATGCTTTTTTTTGGAGAATTTGGTTCTTACGCAATGATATGGTGCATTCAAAGAAGCCACCCCCTGTTGAAATCTCGGTACGTTTTTTGAGCAGCTATTTGTCCTCGCTTTTGGTGCTGCAATCTGAACCAATCGGCGACCCAATCAAAGGGAAAGCTCATGTCAAATATGTCCTTGTTCTAAGACAAAATCCACATGAGCAGAGATATATGCTTCTGTCCTAAGTGATATGGCAGGTGCAGGAATGGTGCTTAGAGACCATGAGGGGACTGTCATATTTAGTTCCTGCCGATGCATTCACTCTTGCGATGACATATTGGAAGCTGAATTTCTGGCTCTAAAGGAAGGAACTTTGCTTGCGTTGCAATGGAGTAACTTGCCCATAGATGTGGAATCGGATTGTTTGAAGGTTGTCAAGATGATTAAAGGAGGAGGAGAAAACAAATCTAAATATGTATTCATTGTTAGAGATATCATTATTGCGTTGGGAGAGGGGAATTCTTGCATTACTCATACTCGTTGAACCTGTAATAATGTTAGTCACGTCTTGGCAAATTTTGGTAGGATGCATTGCCGAACCATGGTTTGGCTAGGATCTGGACCAGATGAGGTCATGGAACTAATAGAACGAGAATGTAACACTTTGTTTTGAGTAATGCAAGTCTTATTCGCAAAAAAAAAAAGAAAAAAAACCTCCTCCGGTTCAGGAAAAAAAAAAGAGAACTCCTTCCATGATGTTTTTGCTCTTCTAAAAAAAAAGTGTTCGGGTAGGAGAAATTAAAGCCCTCAGCCTAAACCAACGTCCAAATTCTGGCGCAAGAAGTTCAACACTCCCGCGCATACATGGTCGACACGTTTACGTGAGAGATCTCTTTGCCTGATCATGTACTCCACAGGTGCACCACGGGCGGTAATGCTACACCTACGTACAATCAGGACGTTTTGCACCCCAGGCCGACCTGCTCTGCTCCCTCCGTATCCGTATCCCTATCCGTATCAGTATCACCCAACTGTAACCGCAAAAGATGGGAAAACTGCTCTACTCTGCCTCTTTGCTTTGCTGCAGCCACTAGCCGACGAACAGAAAAGCTCCCTTTTGATTTTTGGATACAGTCCAAGGCTGCAGCTCTGCTTCTCCTCTTAGCAGCAGAGCGGGCTGGCATGCCGTGCCACCGATCGGAACCAACTGCGTTTTGCCCAAATGCTGCCGCGCCAGCATAGCTAGCTCTGCGCCTCTGCCTCGGCCGTGCCATTATCACGAGCTCACCACACTTCAGACGAGACGACCCGGTTCTTCGCTTTGCTCCCGTTAAACCCTACCCCCGCATCGCCGCGACCACCAGTTCACCCTCGCCAACACCGCCGCACACGGGCGCCCGCACGAACCGAGGCCGAGATGGCGCACGCGTCGTCCTCCTGGGTCATCCTGGGCCGCGTGCCACGGGTGACGGCGGCCGACGCAGACCTCCCTCCGGGCGCCGACCTTTCCCTCCGCTGCCGACGCCCCCGCGCATCGCGCTCCTCACCATCCCGCCGCGCATCTTCCCGGGGCGCACCGCTTCCGACAACTACCCGTCCGTCGTGGCCGTCGACCCCACCGGCCTCCTCCTCCTCCACGCCGACCAGGGCCGCGCCACGGGCCCCACCATCGTCGACACAGCCGGCAACCAGTCGTTCGGCTGGCGCCCATTCGTCGCGGGCTACTTCGTCCTTGACGCTACAACCGCCTCCGCCCTTCCGCTTCCAAAGCCCGAGCTCATCCTGCACTCGGGCCACCTCGGCCTCATCTCCTCCCCGGGGGGTGGCGGCCACTACATGGTCGTCGAGCTCCAGCCCATCCTCGGCGTTCAGGAGGGCACCCTCCTACGCTTCTCGTCCGACGTCGGGGAGTGGGTCAGCAAGGGCATCCACATCCCGCTTCCATTCCGGCAGTTGGCCCCCAACGGCGCGGTCTCGTACTACGGGAGGCTCTGGTGGGTCGACCTCTCCTGGTGCCTCCTCACCTGCGACCCCTTCGAGGACGCGCCGGTGCTGAGGGTCGTCCCTCTACCGCCGGGCAAGGTGCTCGAAAGCAGGGAGGGCTGGGGATTTCTCGACAAGTACCGCTGCGTCCGTGTCAGCGGCGGCAAGCTGCGGTTCGTCGACATGTACCGGAACCGTAACAGCCGCGGCGCTGCGCAGATCAGCGTCTGGACGCTCGCCGATCCGGACTCCACAGAGTGGACGCTGGAGTACGAGGCCACCTTTGCGGAGATCTGCAACGACGCGAGCTACAAGGCGACTGGTCTGCCAAGGAAGATCCCGGTGCTTGGGCTCATCCATCCCACCAACCCTGACGTGGTCTACTTCTTCCTCGACAAGCATCTGCTCGGTATCGACATGGGTGCTCGCAAGGTTGTGGAGTGTGAGATCTACGAGCTGGTTGCCCCGCCTAGCAAGCACGTGTGTACCCGTTTCCTTCACGCTTGGCAGCTGCCACGGGCTCTCAGCTGCTCAGGTTGTTGAAATAGAGTTGTATAGGGATAGGACTAGTGTTTAATTGTAAACCTTTTCTATCCTTTCTTCTGTCTAACTCCTCCTCTACCGACCTTCTCTGTATCTCTCAATCAAACTATCGATCATTTTGTAAGCCATGACAACATCCATATAAATATAAGTGCGGCCCGAGAAAAGGGTTTAATGCTTCCCACGATTTATTTCATGGTATCAGAGCATCTTCTTCCTAGATCGAGAAAGAGATCGCATCTAGCCTACCCAAACCTCGCCATGACCACCGCCTCCACCCAATCAAGCACCATGAGTGCGCTCACCACCTCCCTCGCCTCGTCATCCACCTTTGCGCCTTCATCCAGTAGCACCCAAGCCATGTCCCTTGGGACACCACCACAAGAGAAGCTCACGAGGAACAATTTCCTCATGTGGAAAGCCGTCGTGCTGCCGCAAATCAAGGGCGCACAGATGGCTCACCACCTCGATCCGACGAGCCAGACGCCGCCGGAGACCCTCACCGTCACCAAGGACGGGAAGGAGGAACAGATCGTCAATTTTGCACGCCACCTCTGGTACGCTCAACAACAGCAAGTTCAAGGTTTTCTGATGGGCTCATTGTCTCGCGAGATCCTTGCACAGGTGGTCACATTGCAGACGCCAGTGGAGGTATGGGCCGCCATTCATGTCTCTTTTGTTGCCCAAACTCAAGCCCAAGCCATTAATACCCGCATTGAATTGACAAACCTGAAAAAAGGAAACCTGAACATGACAGATTATCTTGCCAAAATTAAGATGCTCTCGGACGAGATCGCATGCACAGGAGCGGGGTTGGGCGATGCAGAGATCGTCTCCCATGTTCTCGCCGGCCTCGACCTCGACTACAACCCGGTCGTGTCGGCTCTTGCAGCGCGGGTCGAGCCTGTGACTGTCCAGGAATTATTCAACCAATTACTCAGCTTCGACGCCCGCCTCAATCTGCTTCACGGGATGAACGTTCGTCAATCCTTCGTCAACGCTGCTTCACGTGGTCGAGGAGCTGGTCGCGGGCGCGATCACCAGGGGCGTGGCCATAGCAGCGGCAACAGCGGCCGCGGACGCAGCAACAGCCAGAGCACGCGTCCTGGCAGGGGCGGCTACACCAACAGCAACGTCCCCGCACGATCTGGAGGGGGCGGCAACTCCAACACCAACGCCTCCTCTGGATCATCTTCTTCAACTCGCGTTCAGTGTCAACTATGCAAGAAACCAGGACATGAAGTCGTGGATTGTTGGCACCGGTATGACGAGGATTATGTTCCTGATGCTCGTCATGTAGCCGTTGCAATCAGGGAACAAGGTGGTGAAGATGACACCATATGGTATGCAGATTCAGGAGCTACTGATCATGTCACCAATGAACTAGAAAAGGTGGCCATGAGGGAGAAGTACTATGGCAACGACCAGATTCACACCGCTAGCGGTGGAGGTATGGATATTTGTCATATTGGTCAAGTATCTATTAATTCCCCTAGTCTTAAACGTGATCTAATTCTTAAAGATGTCATTCATGTTCCAAAAGCCGACAAAAACCTTGCATCTATGTCTTGTTTGACTTACGATAATAATGTCTTTTTTGAAACTCATCCTACGTATTTCTTTATAAAGGATCGGGAAACGAGGGAGCTCATCCATCACGGTAGATGCATTGGAGGCTTGTATCCCATTACATCCGGAGCACTTAACCGAAAGCGTCGTCATCATCAAGTTCACTCCGCTGTCAAGCCCTCCTTGGCGAGATGGCATCAAAGATTAGGGCATCCTTCTCCGATCATAGTCAAGCAAGTAGTAAATAAAGGCAATCTTCCATTGTCATCTAGTCAAAGTATTGAGTCAGTTTGTGATGCTTGTCAATGTGCAAAGAGTCACCAACTCCCCTATCCTAGGTCAAATAGTGTGTCTCATGCTCCATTGCAACTTTTTTTTAGTGATGTATGGGGTCATGCAAGAGATTCTTTTGGAAGAAAAAAAATATTATGTTAGTTTCATCGATGATTTTAGCAAGTTCACTTGGATATACCTGCTTAAATTTAAGTCTGAAGTTCTTTATATTTTTCAAGAATTTCAAAAACTTGTTGAACGTCACTTTGATAGTAAGATTATTGCAGTCCAAAGTGACTGGGGAGGAGAGTATGAGAAACTCAACTCTTTCTTTCGCAATATTGGTATTGCTCATCATGTTTCTTGTCCCCATGCTCATCAAAAAAATGGTTCTGCTGAGCGTAAGCATCGTCATATTGTTGAAGTCGGCCTATCTCTTCTAGCTCATGCATCCATGCCACTCAAGTATTGGGATGAAGCCTTTATTGCCGCCACTTATCTTATCAATCGCCTTCCTAGCAAAGTAATTGGGAATATTACTCCTTTGGAAAAATTGTTTCATCAAAAACCTGACTACAACTATCTCAAAATCTTCGGGTGTGCATACTACCCCAATATTCGCCCATACAACCGACACAAACTTGAATTCCGTTCCACTCAGTGTGTTTTCCTTGGCTATAGTAATCTTCACAAAGGATACAAGTGTCTTGAAGTTTCCAGTGGACGCATATATATTTCTCGTGATGTCGTATTTGATGAAATAATATTTCCGTTTTCAAAACTTCATCCAAATGCCGGAGCTCTACTTCGTGCAGAAATAGCACTTTTTCCTGATTATATGCCTAGTACTAATCACGGGGGCGAGTTAAATAGTGCTGATCATATGACTAGTTCCAATGAAAAAGAAAGTTTTAATTTTGGTGCTAAGTGTGCAGATATAAACTGTCATTTTATGCAAGAGAATACAGACAAGGGCAGCAGATCCCAGGCTGATTCAGGTGGCAGCGAAGGTGTGCGATCCAAGGAAAATTCTGTTGACAGCGCGGCAGACGCGCGATTCCATGATCCCAACACGCAGCATGCAGTGAATGATATGGTGGCCAGCAGCCCCAGCAGCGCGGGCCCCTCCACCCCAGTCAGCGTGGGCCAGCGCGCCTCACCAGTCGGTACTCACGCGCCGGACAGGCCAGCGGCCGACCGAGCGACCAGTCTGGGGCCCAGCATGGACGGCGCGCCCCGCCCGACCGAGCGGCTGGTTAACGAAGGCGCCACGCGGTGCGCGCCTGCTGGCGCGATAATCCCGAGAGGGACTCCTGGCTCCCCGGTTGCCTCGGATCGGGAGCAGGGCGATGCACTGGATTCGGCGGGATTGTCTGTGGCTGACGATTCTACTGCTGAACCAACTACATCGAGATCTTCTATGCCAAGGGATACCCGACCTACTATACCAGTGCAAGGACCTGAACTCCCACGTCGTCATACCAGATCCAAATCAGGTATTGTCAAGGAAAAAGAGTACAAGGATGGTACTGTAAGGTATGATAAAATCAAACATGCCTTTCTTACTAGTATGGGTGAACCAACTCATTTGCATGATGCACTTGCTAATAAAGATTGGAAAGAAGCTATGGATAAGGAATATGAGACACTCATGAGAAATAAAACTTGGCACTTGGTACCGTCAAAAAAGGGCAAAAATGTCATAGATTGTAAATGGGTGTATAAGATTAAAAGGAAGTCTGATGGGAGCATAGACAGATATAAGGCTAGATTGGTTGCGAAAGGATTCAAACAAAGGTTTGGTATTGACTATGAAGATACATTTAGCCCTGTTGTTAAAGCAGCTACTATTCGTCTTGTATTGTCTATTGATGTTTCCAGAGGTTGGAGCTTAAGGCAGCTAGATGTTCACAACGCATTTCTTCATGGTGTTTTGGAAGAAGAGGTTTACATGCGGCAACCACCAGGTTATGAAAATAAGAGCACACCTCATTGTTGGGGAACGTAGCGGAATTTTAAAATTTTCTACGCATCACTAAGATCAATCTATGGAGTCATCTAGCAACGAGGGAGAGAGGAGTGCATCTACATACCCTTGTAGATCGCGCGTGGAAGCGTTCAAGAGAACGGGGTTGATGGAGTCGTACTCGACGTGATCCAAATCACCGATGACCTAGTGCCGAACGGACAGCACCTCCGCGTTCAACACACGTACGGTTGGGAAGACATCTCCTCCTTCTTGATCCAGCAAGGGGAAAGGAGTGGTTGATGAAGATCCAGCAGCACTACGGCGTGGTGGTGGATGCAGCGGGATCCCGGCAGGGCTTCGCCAAGCGCAAGCGGGGAGGAGAGGTGTTACGAAGGGAGAGGGAGGCGCCAAGAGAAAGGGGTCCGGCTGCCCTCCCTCCCCCCTCTTTATATAGGGGCCTTGGGGGGGCGGCCCTATG